CCCCAAAACCCCAAAACCCCAAAACCCCTCAATCATAATTCTTAAAAGAATTTGGGCATCTATAAAATATTAAGATAAAATGTATTAAACTTAGCAATAGGTGAACTACAATGAAACTATAGAAAAGTCCGATATTGTTCAGAGAGATCAAGACTACTTAAACAGATACAAGCAGAAGATGAATAATATTATTACTAATGAAAAAATAACTCATGACAAAGATCCCAAATTCTTTAGATATTTAAAGAGATTAGTTGATGCCACATAAATCAAGGAGGAAGAAAGGTTCGATGGAAGATAAATTATTCAAGACTTTATACATGATAAAGATTCGATAATATATCATAAAAAGCATAAAAACGAGGTTGATGTAGGTAAGTAACTATTATGTATTTTGATGTTTTCCTAAACAGTAATTTAGGTCAAGATAAACAATTAGGATAAAGTATGGATTATAAAGATTTTGTTTAACTGACTGAGGAGGATAGAATGTGATTTTTGTATAAAAAGAAATCAGTGATTGTAAAAACTTATGATCCATTCTTTGAATAAGCGATCCTTGAAAAAAACTTTCACCCAAGAGCTAAGAAATAATTTACAAGCTATAATATAAGAAATAAACATGATCTCTCAGAGAAAAAAGTTTCAGTTACTTCTATAAATTTGCTCCGATCACATGAAAAATAATCTAAATATAATTTGGCATCAAACATCTCGATTTAGTAGCAATCTAGAAATTTACTGACTCAGATGTATGACTAAGAAAAAAAATAGAACAAGTCCTTGATTTTGTCTAATTATCATAACAGAGATTATGAATTTGAGCTTGAAAAGACTATGTAACTGAATAATAGAAGTCCATTAATTAAAGATCAGAAACCACAATTAAGAGCAAGGATGCCTATTATTTTTGGTATGAGAGATGAAACAAGAAATAATTAAGGCCTTGAAAACCTCTCAAGCTTTAATTAAAGAGCATAATCAATGGTTTCTAGCGTTATTAATTAACAGAAAATTAATAGTACTTTTGAAGCCTCAATGATGGACGTTAACGATTTCAATGACAGATCTTTGAATAAATATGTAAATGGAATGGATTCTTAGCAAGTATTAGTGGATATTAAATAAAGAGAACTGAACAAGATAAAAAGGCAATAGAACAACAACAGTGTTATTTATGGCAATAACGTATAGAGTATTAGCAATGTGAAAACTCATTGGAATAAAAAAATTTTAGATCCTAAAATTGATAAAAATTACCTTCATTCTGTAGTGAAGAAAGATAGTGAAAATCATTTTGAAGAGACAATAGCTGAGGCAATGATCAAGTATGATATAAAAAACAGTGATCTCAAAGGGAGTTTGACAAGAAATAAAATGCATACCGAAATAAATTCGCATAAGCAATCTAAAATGGTCAGAATTAATCCGAATACAATTCAAAGTGACTATGATAATAGATCAGAAAGTAAGTTGAGTCAAATTTTGAGAATTTCAACAGATCTCAAAAATGGTCCTTCTAAATTCAATACTCTAAATATGAATTCAGAAACCTTAAACACAGTAAGTAAAACTTCAGGAAGGAATTCATAATCTCAAGATAGAAATAATAATTTAAAAAAGAAGGTGAGTTCTCCTCATATGGTGGTATTTGTCGAAGATGGAGCCTACTTAGGAAGCTGCAAGTCCTTCAAATTAGACTTAAACTTCTTCAAGGCAAAGTACTTTATAGAACCACCAAAATTTATCTCTTAACTCCCAAAAGATTTTGTGAAGATTTAGCGAAAGTTCAATAAAAGAGCTTACTTGGAGTTATTAGAATAATGTTCAAATGAATTAACTGGAAAATAAAGAGTATTTGAAGCAATGTACACTATAGATGGTGAGTTAATTGAAAGTATTGATGAAATAGAGGAGGACTGTTCTCTGATAATAGCAGGAAAGGACAGATACACTTTCAATGGAATATTGAATAATAGATCTGGAATGGAGGCCAAGGATTTAAGAATGGAAAACTCAAAGATCATAAAGTAAAAGCTACTAAGTTAGGAATAGGAATGGGCAAATCAGAAATATCTTGAATGGATAGAAAGAATATGTGACAAATTTAATATAGAAAACATGCAGTTAGCCTTAGAAACGCATGCAAATAACTCATATCTCAACAGTAATTAGGATTATAGAAAAGATTTTATTAAAAAACTTGGGGCATAGAATAATGTATCTCCTACGTTTTAAGGAGGAGGTTTTAAAAACTGCAATGAATTTTTACTGCCTTAGATTACAGGAAATGTTCAAGAATAGTTAAGGAGGCTAAGGTCAAATAATTAAGAGAAAATTAAGTTATAAAAAGATGGAGTAAAGTCTGCTAGATGGGATGATGAATTCATTAAAGCACTCGATAACTTCAAGCAAGTTAATTCTTACAAACAGAAAAATCATTTCTAAATATCTAAACCATCTTAGGCAAATATATCAGATATAGGAGGTATAGATAATTCCAATAGCAAATTAAGCCAAGGTATCTCACCATATAAAAATCAAGCAATGGACTTTGTTAAGAATCTTAAGAATATACAGACTCAAGCGGTATAGAAAGAAATTAAGATTAAAACTCATCTGAAGCATATTAAGTCAAGCCGTAGAGAAAAAAGTGAGACAAATGCTACTGATAGAAAGTTAAATAATCAAGCAGGGATGAAAAATCACAAGACTCTTTCTTATGAGGAATGTAAAAAACTGTCAGATGATTATCTTTTACCCTGCAAAGTAGTATATGAGCTGCACAGTGAGTTCAATAGTCTTGTGATGATGAGCAAAGAAAAATATAGAAAAAGAGGAGATGATGCATTGAATAATGACAATCAGATTGCTGAGGAAGAAGAAGATAATTCTGTTGGAGAAGAAGGCATTCCACTAGATATATTTAGAGAGGCCAGTTCAATGTTAAAGGAAAAACACCCAATGATATAAGATAGAATACTACTAGCCATGAATATTAGCATACACGCTAAATTTGCAAAGATCAACTGGTAAACTTTCCTAATGTATAACTGCATTATGAAATACTACACAGCTACTCAGAAGTAATATGTTCAATTTTGGATAGAGTTTTTGAACCCGGATCATCAAAGAACAATGTCTAAAGAGGACTTTTTAGATTTAATGGAGAAACTTGTAAGAGGCTCCTATACAGAGTCTACAACTTTAGTTTCTGAGAGATTTTCAGAGCTTTTGTATTAGACTATTAATGATAAGAATTGTTGTAAAGAAGACAATGGGGAAATTTAGCTTGACAAGTTAGAGAAAAAGCTTTTGAAAAACGAGATTGAACTTGAATACTTTAATCAAACACTCAAGCCAATAATGCATGATCTGTTCTCATAATGATTAAGAATTGAAGTGATTTGTATTAATAATCTACTTAAAATTTTCAAGGATTTTGATTCCTGGGGTTTTGGGGTTTTGGGGTTTTGGG